CTTTGTATATGTACTATTTACCTTATTCGGGTGGTGGCTAACGTTCACCTCACTGCGTCTCATTGATTCCATACAGTCTGAGAAGAGAGGGTGGTTGCTTGCTGCGGGCTCGCACAATGCAACGTTCCCTCATCCACATAAAAGTGTTGACAGTGCTCCGAGGTAAAAATTAGTTTATCCAATATATCATTGCGTGATATTTGAGTCTTAACAGAGCTGGGCCTTGGCCCACTGGCCAATTTATGCATTTTTAATCTGCAATAAAAGGAATGGCGATTAATTTAGTATTGCTGTAACAAATAAATTTTATTTTAAATAGTCTCATTAGGTAAAAAACTGGCGAAATAACTGTGTGCTGTTGTTTGAGGTCAGCGAGTAAATGTAGTGATAATTACAAAAAAAAAGGGAAACGGAGTTTTTTTCCAAGCAGCGACAAAAAAACATTCTTTATTAAACCGTTCAGTTTCTCACTGCCCTATCCGAAGAGTGAGATGTCGGTTCCTGATGAAATAACACATCTTCCTTTGCCCAATAAGGCCACTGCCTCTTACTCTTCACTGCTCAATCGTTCGTTTGTTTTCTGCTTTTTTAACGCCAAACTTTCCGGCCGAAGGAACAGCTTTCGCTTCCGTCTTAACCACTAGTTTCTCTGTCCCTTACTCAGCGGAATGAATGTTTGTTGTTCTATTGCTAATAGCAACAAGTAATTTTTAAGCAAAAAACAAAACCGACTTCAATTGTCATATACAAATTATCGGATCTAAACAAAATTAGTATGGGACCAGCCTTGAGGTACCACCTTTCCGATGAAATCGGATAACGCGGTCCAAAGTTATGCGGTAACATGCATAAAAAAAAATATTCCGACGAACTGATAACCTCCTCCTTTTTTGAAGTCGGTTAAAAATATGCCCAAGATAAAAAATGTTGGTCAATATCTTAGGCTCGCCCAAGTCCATTAAAGTTCAATGTGTTAAAAAAAAAATTTGTCTTGGCTTACTTCGATCGCATGCTCTACAAAAAGGTTAGGATACCGAATTATTTAGGACTTTGTAAAAAAAAATAGTAATTAATTTGGAATTTTTATTTACGGATGGAAAATATTTAATAAATTCAATTTCTCACAAAAGAGCGCTTTTTTGTTAAGAAAACACACTAACGTTATTTTTTCATAAAATGTTTGATAAGATCAAATTTTAAGTCTTTTTTTGTAAACTTTAATATAATGAAAAAAAAATCAAATATAAATACTTTTTTAATATACCACGCAAGGTACATTGAACAGGTAGTATCAGTAGAGCAGCTGATTTGATTTATTTTCAAATTATTTGGTCTCGAAAATGTCAAATATTTTTAATTTTTTCTCACAAAAATTCTGAATTGTTAAAATCCATTTGCATGTGAAACCTTTTTCCATACAAAACAAGCGATTGAATAGCAGCTTTTGGAACGTTCGCCCAACTCAGCAGCACAACCGCTGATTACTGGCCCTTGTAAAGGATGGATCAATGCTTCGAGAAGCAAACAAATTTACTAGGAAAGAAAGTTGCAACAATTTTTATTTTTTCCAATTTCAATTTTTTATTTTTTATAATTTTTTGTATTTCACATGGCGCGCTTTGATTTAGAAGAAAAAATTCAGAACAGTTTTTGACACTTTCGATACCAGAAGCAACAACAAAATACACGCAAATGTTGTTTTTGCTCTACTGATACTACCTGTTTAATGTGCCTTGATACCACGTATACTTTTAATACGTAACGGTAGTTTTCGGAAATGTGAAAAGCTATATTTAATATTTGCGCCGGGCATTTAATGTTCAGCTCCGCCCGAACTTAGTCTTTTTTACTTGTTTATATATGTAACTCCTCTATCTACTTATGTATGCTCTGAATATAAAAGAATGTTCAAATGCAGTAATCTGTTAAAGTAAAATTTTCGGATGTTCATGAAAGGTATGAAGACTTCGGCATAGCCGAAGACAGCGCCGCTTTTACTTGTTTATTTTACATCAGAAGCATCAGATTCCCTTAAACTCGAAAATGGCTCGAAAACCTCGAAATAACTGTCAACACTTTTATGAATGGCACTTTTCGCATGCCTCGAAAACTTTCTAGGCAAACTAGGCGCGAAAGCACCCTCGAAAAGTGGTTTGCAAATTTCAGGTCAATTAATTCATACAATTAACATTTTACACTTTTTCGTGGCATTTTGAATGCAAAGAAACTCTGACTGAACAGTCAAATTGCTGCATTTCAAAAAACAGCCTCGAAAATTTTCTACTCTTCGCGCTTAAGGGAGTCCATCCCCTAATTATAAAAATAGTATCAACAAGTAAGAAAGTCTAAGTTCGGGCGGAGCCGAACATTAAATACCCGGCGCAAGTATTAAATATATGTTTTTTCACCTTTCCGAAAGCTACCGCTAGATGGTAAGCCGGGGTGTATCGATTTTGAGTAAATTAGCGTCCTTCAATTTCGAAATATTGAAGTTTCAAGCATTTCTTAAATTTACCGTTATATGAGAATCGGCCGTTATTTTAGTCCGATTTCAATAATTTTCAACGTTTTGCTTACACGTGGCAAGTACAATAACCATACCGAGTTTGGTACAAATTGGTAGAACGGTTACCGATATACTTATATGTGATCATAAGTGGGCGGTGCCACGCCCATTTTCCAAAATTTTACCATATACGTATTTCTTGGTAAAGAATTGTTACAAGCATCAATTTTGAATAAATTAGCTTCAATATTTACTGATTTATCGAAGATTATGTATTTCTCTAAATTACCGTTATATGGGAGGTGGGCGTGGTTATTGAGCGATTTTAAAAATGTTCGGCCATTTGGTATGTTGTGCGAAGACCAACAACTGTGCCAAGTTTGGAAGAAATTGGTGCAGCGGTTACCAAGATATACACATGTAACCATAAGTGGGCGTGGCTACGCCCATTTTCCAAAAATTTATAATATTCTTATTTTTCGTCTAAAAATTATTGTAAATATCAATTTACTAAAATATCGCAGTTTTCGTATTTCTGGAAATTACCGTTATATGGGAAGTGGGCGTGGTTATTGTCCGATTTCGCCCATTTTCAATACCAACCTACCTTGGATTAACAGAAACCTACATACCAAATTTCGTTGAGATATCTCAATTTTTGCTCGAGTTATCGTGTACACGGACGGACGGACATACGGACAGACGGACGGACAGACAGACATGGCTTAATCGATTTCTTTTTTCATTCTGATCATTTATGTATACATTTGTCTATATCTATCTCGATTCGTTTTGGCTGTTACAAACAACCGTTATGTGAACAAAATTAATATACCCTTGTGCACAAGTGCGCTCGGGTATAAAAACAGGTAGGACTTTTTAAAAAGTTGCATGCAACTCCGTTGTTTTTGGGACTAGCACTTTAAAATTTTTATTGAAGGTGTATTTTAATACATCTTTCCAAAAACTGCGAAAAACGTAGGTTCAAAAAAAGTTTTGGTTAGGGCCTTTGCGAATTAAGTTAACGATATGTATGTATGTATTCATCGGCGTAGCCAGAATAAAATTTAGGGGAGGGGCAGGGGGGGGGGCTCGACCCTACTAAGCTGGCGTTTCAGGGTACTATTTTATATATATATAAGGAAAATTTGAAAGTTAGGGGGGCTCGAGCACCCCTCTGCCTCTACCTGGCTACGCCCATGTATGTATTATTAAGCATTATGAATAACTTAACATTTGATTTTTCTTATAATTGCTGATCTATTACTTAAATTTATTTGAAGATATCGAGTAAAAGGAATGAAGTTTTAAGAAAAAGCAATTGCTTAGTTTTTATTCATAAGGCCCATTGTATATTATTGACGAACGAAAAATTATATAAATGAATTAATCTAAATGAGTTTTTAACATCCATGTAGTTGTTGTTGTTTTAACAGCATACAAACTCCCCAAAGACTTTTTGGGGAGTGTTGCTGGAGTGACAGTCCTTGGCCAGATATAAATCTGGGTCGTTCCGGTTACGTAGACCCGACTGTCGTGGGAACGAACATCCATGTAGTCTCATTACTCCATGATGAGCTATTTAAAAGAATGGGAGCGGTTTTTCACGACTATTTTAGGAGATTTCCGGAACGATTTTAATAGGAGTATTCGCTTAATGCTCTCTCGGAAGGGGTTTAGGATATTATTCTGTGTGTCCTCTTGTATTTCTCGTTAAGAAGGTTTCTAGAGTTTTGTTTTTATATATCGTCACCTGAAATTAAGCGCCAATCTATTATTATATTATTAGATGTGCTGTAGAGTTTAACGTTTACGAAAAGATTTGCTACCTTTGAAAAACTTAAAACTCAAATTATTTAAAAAGTTAAATCCATTATTACAATATGCCATGCGGGTACACAGTCATATTTAATAGCAGCAAATCAAAGTTTTTTATATACATAAATTTATTTCGCAAAATAACTCTAGATATTTAAAACATTAAGGATTCAGCCAATCTAATTTGTCCTCTTCATTAAAATAATCTAAAAATGAAGAGCTAATTCCTTCCGGTGTCAAGTTTGGCTCTACCGCCGCTTCCAAAGAAATCCGACTACCCATATTATTATTTTGTTCATCGCCTTTTAGAAAATTGTTAAGGACACAACAAGCCTGTACTATGACTTCGATATTTCTAACATTCCTTAGTGCAATTGGTTTTTTGAATATTAAAAACTTTTGCCTGCAGGACCTTACTAATATTATGAAATGGAACAAAAAACGCCGTTATGAGTGGATGCGAGAAGCTGTTGTTGGTGCATTGCATGAAATTGATAACGATGACATAGCTTTAAGCACGATCAATGCAATCAATTCCCTCTTATTTTCAGCTCGAAAAGAGGATCAGGAGTTGAAGAATACCAAGACCACAACTGCTTATCATAAATACCACAGCGCGCCCAGATACATATATGGCAGGTGTGTGGTGTGAAAACGATCTAGTCTAACTTTATTATTATATATATTACTTATTCCTGTTATTTAAAGTAAGGTCACAATAAGTACAAATATTTCATGCGATGAATTAATAGCTGAAGTGCCTTTTAATTTATGTATGCTGGGGCAATACGATTATTCGAGCAAGTTGGTTAATTAGTTATTCGGTTAATCAATTACAAAAGGAGGATTAATCGAGTTACTCAAAATATTATTACTCCATTAAATTAATTTTGCTCCTTAAAAGAGTTTGTATTGATTATGTTTGCTTTTT